TTTCAATACTTCATGGATGGATTAGGTTCTTTGAATGTCTTCTCCACTTATCATATAAATTGTCTATAAAAAAGTGGCAAGCTCGAACAGAAAGCGAGAAACTATTAGTTTCGGAAAATAAATCACGAATTCAAAAAGGATTTAAAGATAAATTTGGTCTGATTGTTGACCAACCGAAACCTGGCTTTGGGAATTCTAACGATGGCAATACAGTTAGGCGTTTCTTCCAAAATCCCGAGATGTCAGCAGCAATTACTAAAGTTGACATAAATTTGATTAAAAAGATGCATACAATACTCGTAGTTGTTTCTAGTGGGTACGATATTGAGGTACAGAAGTTTCGTGACTACGCTTTAAATACAGCAAAATATTTCGTTGAATGTTATCCTTGGTATAACATGCCTCCAACACTTCACAAATATTTTATCCATGGACCARAGATAATATCGCACGCTATGTTGCCAATCGGACAATTATCAGAAGAAGCTAAGGAAGCTCGAAACAAAGATTTTAAGAATTTTAGAGAACATTTTTCTCGCAAATGCAGCAGAAAAAAAGCTAATGAAGAYATATTTAACAGACTTTTAATCAGTTCTGACCCCGTTATATCAACCACAAGAAAATTACCAAAAAAAAAGTGCAGGATTTACCCGAAGAAGCATTAGAGTTGATCGTGATAGAGAGTGGCAATAATAATGAAGTTGATGATGACGATGATGATGAAGGCGATGATGATGAAGGCGATGATAAAAATTCAAGCGAAGACGATAATGATCATGAATATGATTATAGTGATGAAGAAACAGTTTATATATTTTAAATAAAATATGAAGCTTAAAAAAATTAAAAATTTAGAAAACCGATGTTCAGCATATTTTTGTTTTTTAAGATATAAAAAAAAAAACAATCAAAAAACTCGAATTGCATTATTTTCTTACTTCTTTATGATTAATTAACTAAAAAAAGTAACTTTTCCATAACTAGAAGACTTGTAGGAATTAATCTCCATTTTGAGCACCATTTACCCCACTGTGCAACGCCTGGACCTTGTTGAGGTTCAAGGATAGTTTTTACGCCAAGAAAAATACGAATAATTTCAGGAAACAACCCTTTTCTTTCTTCCATACGAACCAATGAATGTTTGTTTGTGAGTAACGCTAAGAGAACGGCTGCACCAATCTTGATGAAATTTTCAGAGGTTGTTCGTTGTGGATCGGGGAAGAATAAAAATACCTTATACCTTTCATGAGGAAAAGTCGGAAAATTCGATTATTCCAAATCTTTTTTCTATACAATTTTTTTTAAATTTTGCTTGTTTTGTTTTTCAATATATTACACAGTACAACAGCTAATCTGGGGGGTGAGAAGTCAGGGTGATGGTACGAGGTCAGTATAGTAGAACCCTCAAAGAGTTTAGCGTTCGTATGTGTCAGTTTTTTTTATGACCTTTTAAATTTTTTCCTTATCTTGATTGGAAAATTTTTGGGATTATTTTTGCTTAGTTGTAACATTTTGGCAAACAAAAAAAAAATTTTTTTTTAATTGAAACCTCTTCAGTGAAAACTTTACGTGTGTTTTACACAAAGTGACCAATTTGCCTTCAACGTATGGCAGCCCAAGATAAGGCAAGGAAAGAAGTACTGCCAGGATGCGGTGTGGAAACTCCAGATCAACGTGCCTTTCTTTCGGAAACACAAACTTGAAATGATGAATATTGCAGTTTGGTGTAATTGATAAACTACGTTTGTAATTACGTCACCAAAAGAAGCAACATGGCGGTTATTGGTCTTGAACGATACGGTCGATACCTGAGCTGCAATAAAGCGCTTTGTAGGATATCTACTTTTGCAATTAATGAACGTTTTTCAACTGTTGTGCGTCTCGCCGTTAATTTGGAGAATGGCCAAAGAGTATATTTCAACCCAGAGAATACAGTACAGCCAGTGGAAATACCGCCAGTAATGATGCATTTGCGAGAACATTGCTCTATTCGGAAATACCTTGATATTAAGAAAGCAAGGCCAACAGTAGATGGACATCCAGGTGTGTTATTACTAATGCATTATTACGAGTTTACACAATCCACCCGAAAAACGACGATTGCTTCTACCTTCGGTTGCTATTGATTAATGTACGCGGTTCAACTTCATTTGAGTCATTGCGTAGAGTGAATGGTATGTGTGCAACATTTTGAGAAGCAAGTGATAAACATTTCGACATATCAGCCTTCAAATCCGCGTCAATTATAGGATACGAACAAAAATGACATTGCCGAAGTCATTTTACATCGTCTTCGCTAAAAATTGCAAATGGATCAATTCCGGTTGATATTTCTAGTGGTTTGATATCAATGCCATCTTCCCTTTATCAATTCACGAAAGATGAACTCATCGCGAATGTTCAGACAWGGGCCAAATTATCGTAACTACGCTTCCTTAAGTGCACGCGCAATGTTAGCTTTCAAAAATACCGATGTCGTTGACTTAAACTGTAAGATTCAAAGTAAAATTCCGGGAGATTTGCGCTCATGTCGTGAATTATACAGTAGAATCCCGAATATCCGACTATCCGGACTCATTCGTCTCGGCTCTAATTGTCAATTTAAAAATGTTTTGACTGCGCAATGATAGATGTTGGGACAAGTTTATTTTCCCGTCCGATCGTGTTACGTGTACGCCGGCTCTCATTTGTTCGCGGGATAGTGTTTGTTATGGTTTCATTTTCTTAGATAGCGTTCAACTGGGGGGTTGTCTCTTATTTTTATCTGCCTTTTTTGTGTTGGAAATTGACAATGTCCAAGCGATAAAGAGTAGTCTTGTCTCTTAATGTAACAAAGTGAAGACAATTAAGAGTACAAAAAATGGCGAATCTGGCGGTAAGTTGACAATCTCAAAAGGAAATTCTGGAGAATGCCATATCAGGACCTCTGTTATGTGAAAAAGCATTGGATTTTAATAAAAGAATTTCTAGATGAAAAAGAATACGATTTAGATTTTGTATACAATGCAGGTGAAACAGGTCTTAATTGGAAAGCTGTACCAAGCAGATCGTTAGCATCGCCGCGTGAAAATGCAGCACCTGGGCACAAAGTGAGTAGGAACAGAGTTACTGTTATGGTTTGCGCAAACGCTAATGGAACACATCGATTGGCACTGCTACATATTGGTGAATCAAAAAATCCGCGCTGTTTCAAAAATGTTAAAATCCCCTTAGCTTACGCTAACCAAAAAAAAAAAGCATAGATGAACAGAGATACTTTTCTTACTTGGTATGAAAAGTACGTTTATTCCTGAAGTGAAATTTCAAAAGGACGTGGGGGACGTATTGTTGTTGTTATTATCTAATGCGCCAACGCACCCTTCCGCTGAAACACTACATCGAGAAAATGGGAAGTTCACAGTTAAGTTTTTACCCCGTAACATAACATGGATATTGCAACCAATGAAATTTGAAAACGTTTATACAGAAAGCAACTATTGCGTCAGAGGGCAGTGAAATAGAAACGACGTTAAAGTTTTTTAAGGAAACAAATTGAAAAGATTGTTGTTATATGCTGGTAGAAGCGTGGAACTCTGTGGAATTGAAAACATTAAAAAGGGCTTGGAATAAATTATTAAAATTAACTCTATCTAATTCCTCGATTAAACCGCATGACGATTTTAAAGAAATAACAGAAGCAATGAAAATTCTTAGCATTGTTGAAGGGTGCGATGAAGAAAATATTAAAGAATGGCTGAACTGCGATAATGAAGACCCTGGATTCCAAATATTAACTGATGAAGACATCATTGAGGATTTGAACAATAACGAGAGAGAAGATGAAGAAGACACTGAAACTAGGGATGTATGTCAAGTACCATCTCACGCAGAAGCTCTTGAAGCTCTTGGTTTGAAAGACGGGAAAGTTGTTACAACTGAAACGCATCAGAGATTTAGCCGCAATGAAGCGATGTGATTCTTTACGTCAAAGACCAATAGCAAGTTATTTCCAACCAAAATTTTAAATTACATAGGAATTATGTGATACATTATTTATCGTTATAGATCGGTTTTTATATATCGTACATATTATCTAAAGTAAACTTGTAAAACTTATTACATAATAAAATTTTATTATATGTAATTTGAATATTGTTTGATTTGCGTTGAAATCAATTATCGGGATTTTTGATTATAATACCCCTGGTTTTATTTGATCCGGATAATCGGGAATCTACTGTATATAAAATCGATGACAAGATCAACGGCGCAGCGGACCGGGTGATGACGACGGGGCACAGTGTGTCAGTGAGTGTATGTATTTCGAATGTTGATGTGTTGATAGGCGAACTGAAGGTGACGAATTGTRTAAACGAATGAGTTGAATCTGCACGGGAAACCATTCATTATGCTGGGTGGGTGGATGTCCAAGTGTGGTGAGATGTATTGTCTCCGAGTGTGGTGTTGTCAAATTTGGTGTATTGCTGTGTTTTATTAGTGTGTGCCATTTCTTCCGGTTAAGTGAGTGAATGCTTAACTCTTTAAACATCCTGGGCCCCTAGGCGAATATTTTGCCTAGTATTTTGATTAAGTTGATACATATAATTCGCCTTACTGTTGGCGGAGTATAGAACGGATACTCCTTAGCCCTGGTGTTAGGATTGTGATAATAGAGGGATCTTGCGAGAGAATGGTTGTGAATGGAGAACGGCGAATATGAGTCGATGTTTTGGATACATTTATTGTGAGTAATATTTATGTGCGTACGCACTAGGGATGAGCGATATTCAAAATACATCGATGTCATAATCGAAACCTCAACATCTTATATTTGGTATTTATCGAAAACCGAACATCGATGTTGGATCCATCGATAATTTTGGCATCTATAATTGACAAAGAAATAAAACACAATCTATAAGTTCGAAATTTATTAAGCAATTGATCAAATTATTACATATCCCAATATTTGTTATTAATTGACTTAAGGAAATGTAATTTTGATAAAGAAGAACTTAAAGGTTCTTTGTTGATAAAGAGTAGAACCAGCTTTTGAAAACAGTCTTTCGGATGGCGTTGATGTCGCGATAGTACTCAAATATTTTACCGCTATTTTTTTAATTTCGGGTAAGTGGAACCGAGGACATTATTCCAAATATATCTTATCTTGTTTAAGATCAGACACTGGATTTTTCAAAAAGTAACTCAACTCTGTAGGCATTTGACTAGACAAAGACGTAGAGTATTTACTAATTTTTTGACACATTTAATTTCTTTCGAACATGCATGGGATCTTGAAAGTGAATATTTTTAAATCTTGTAGATAAAGCAAGTATTTGAACATGTTCAGAGGGTAACAAGCGGTTACTGATTTCAAATATTATGCTCTGCATATCGTACTATGGGAATGACTTTGCTGCTAGTAACATAGTCTTCTCCACATATTTCTTTAGTAGTTATATAGGGGGTAAAATTTCAAAGATTTCAGTTAACTCTTCAATACATTTTGCAGTTATCATTGGAGGAGCACTTGTATGAAAATTAACAATTTGATTAATCGTTGGTCGCAGATGTAAAAATCTTTCCTCCATATAAAAGGTGGAATTCCAGCGAGTGCTGACATCTTGTGGTAATTTTAGATCCGAATCCTTTTGTAATTTATCACTCGCCACTACACTATGCTTGAACCAGGTGACAATCCTTTTAACAGACGCAATCAATTCTGGTAATTGCTTTGATTTTGCAATCGATTTTTGAGCTACTAAATTCAGTAGGTGAGCAAAACTAATAATATGGCATTTTTTCCAAATGACATATCTACAGCTTTAACAACATCTGCTCCTCCATCAGTTACTACAGTGAATACTTTTTCTGGATCTGTACACCATTCATGACATGTCTACAACATCATTCTTCCAATGTATTCAGTAGTATGCGATTCGTCTAACTCATAAACTCCTAGAGTCACTGATGTCATGCGATCTTCGTCAAGAAAGTGTATAGTGACACCAAGAAAACTCCTAGTTTGCATAGTATCCGTTCATATGTCGATTGTCAGGGTTATATTACGTACACCTTTGATTTTATTTTTAAAAAGTTTCTATGTAACTTCATATCGGTTCTCTACCATTCTCTTGAAAGCATGCCTGGAAGGGACATTATACAGAGTAATAGCTGTTTTCATTAAGTCTAGAAATCCTGCATTTTCCACAATCTGGAACGGCTGTGAATCTTTGCAATACAAGGCATACACAAGATAGCATTTGTAAGTCGAACTTTAGTTCCATTTTCAGAAAATTCAGATATGCTCCTGAAACTCTCATATAGTGTCGGCTGGAATATATTTTTGCGATGAGACGATAGACTTATATCACTTGTATTGAAACTACAATCCGAATCAATTGAACTGTTTTCATTTAAAGCATAGTCAGGTGTATTTCTCTCAGCAGAAGTAGAAGCAGTTGACATTAAAGGTTTTACGAATGTCTCCTTACGTAATTTCTTTGCGCCTGTTTTATGAACTGTGTTCTCGTCGTTGCTATGTTTCAGTAATAATGAACTATGCATTTTTTCAATGTGTAACTTTAGATTTGTAGTGTTGCCATAAGTTTTTATGCATTTATGGCAAGACCGACATTTGGCTTCGTTATTTTCAAGTTTTTCAAAAAAATCCCTTAAGCGACTTTTTGGTGGCATTTTTAATTCTATTCCTGTATACCTGAAAACATACAATTAATTGAAAATAAAATTCAGACATTAACTCGAATAACCAAAACATGCAAAAATATTCATTTAAAAGTACACAAAGTGAAATGTTATGTCACCTTATTATATTACTTTCAATACAAGTAAGAGATTAATTGTCTATGGCTCATTCAAATTTTGCGCGAAAGAACAAAGATATGCTCTGTCTGTGCTTTCCTTGTCTCTAATACAGCATTTATAACCTTAAAAAGAATAATTTCCTTTAGCATGAGCAGAAAGCAAACAGATGAATTCAATATTTAGATAGAATTCAATCATTAAAAACGTACATATTGTTGTACTCCATGTAGTATATATGCACAACACCAGTAGAATACTATCAAATCTGTAAATTAAAACAGGTACGCACAACACAATTTTTTATTAACAAACAAATAGAAGTGTGAGTGAGCGTAAATGAGCGAGACGACGAATCACGAAGAACGAAAGAATGAAGTTAACGACCGGTGCGCCGTGACGCGTTCAGAATTAAAAAAACTTGATTTGTGGATGCGTTCATATAAGACATAATTTGTTTCCTAAGTTGAATTGGTTTGGTGGACGTGCGTGTCGTGCGTGACATGGCGTTGTCGTCATAGCTCTAGGATTTTTTTTGGTATTTGTTTCTTTTTGTCATTATTGGCGAAAGCCATTCTGCGGGGTCGAAAAGTACCATATATTTGAGTTTTTAATATTGTTAGATTTAATTCTGTCTTTCGTTTTTCTACCTCTATGTGGGGTATTAGAACATTGTGGCTCTATTAGTTGTCGGACGACGTACCGTCCATAATTTAATCGAGTAGTTGTGGCTTTAGAGAAGTATTCACAATACTGATCTTCTAGAGTTTTGTTTGTTATAGGGGGGAAGTTTCCTTAACATTTGAAATTTCCTTAATTGTGAATTAAGGTATTTGTTCGTATTATACTCAACTTTAGTTGGTATGGCGGCAACTAATTTTGTAACTGGATAACTTTTTGTTTCAATATGCAGCGTTTGAGCTTTTAGTGCCTTTGAGCAACATGGTGTCTCTTGGCAATTTCTTTTCACTTGTACTTTTCTAGTAATGCGGCGGTGGCAGAATTGGGTCCCAGCTGTCGGTGGGAATATTTAGTGTCGATAGAACCGACAATCAACTAGAAACAGTGGATTCTAGTTTAATGAACTCTACACTTATTTTCTTTTCTTGATTGGTCGTTACTTGCTTGCCGACCAGTATTCTTTCGTTTTCATATCTAGCTTTAAGAGCTTCCCAAGCCAAACGGAAATTATCGTTATTAAGAGCGAACTGTTTTATTATTATGCCTGCTTGACCTTTAGTTTTGTATCGAATTTGATAAAATTTTTAGCCTTGCGATAATTGAGGATGGTTTATGAACACGGCCGTGAACATGTCGCGGATAAACGGCCATTCTTCGTAACCTCGATAGAATGTTTCGCATGTGAAACCTCGAGGTGGATGCATGAACTTGCATTTTGACTGTCTATTTGTGGCAGCTCCACTCTACTGTAGAGGGAGGTGCAATTGGTTTGATTAGCTTTATTTTATCGGAGATCATCGCTTTTGTTTCTTCGTGCTGATCTAAGCAGTTTTCGTATATTGCGTAAGCCGAGGATTTAAAATTTGTGGCAAATCTGAATCGCCAGATTCTAATATGGCGTCTTGGAGCCGAATCCAAATAATTTTTAAGATTTTGGCTTTTTATTTCTAATAACGATTGCGAACTTTCGTGAATCGGTGAAGCGGCAAATCTATTGCAGTATCTTGTTAAACTTTCACTTTCTGAATTGAATGTAACAACCTGTTTTGAGCGTGTAGCTCCTGCAGGTGATTTGATTTGTGTCATTATGAACCATATTTGCAAACTAATATTATTTATTTATATTTTAGTTTAAAAATATATTTTAATTGATTACTATTAAAAAACGCGTTTTTTATTTATTAAAATATTTGATGTCCGAATGATTTTTTATTTCGGTACACCCTAATACTTGGACGTGGATGTATGTATGTATGTCCGCATGAAGTTGCTTATGTTTTGTGCAGTTGAGAGCTTGTTGAAGAGATCAATGCGCTATTTACATAAATATACACGAATTGTTTGTGTGTTTATGATTCTGCTTATGTTCTTAAGCAATTGAGAGCTTGTTAGATAGATCAATTCGCTTTTTATACGCAATCCTGCTTGTTTTTGTTTGCCAACGAACAAGGTATTGCCGGATAATTGTCAATGTGGACTTAGAATATGTGTTTGTAGAAATAGTATGTACTAATATGTATTTTCTATAATTCTCACAAGTTTTGTATGTTTCGTTAAAAATTTCTGTTCTGTTTTTTTTTCTTTTGAGATTTTTTGTCACAGGCAGATTTTGCCGTATGTTTGTCTATAAATGATACTATAGTATTTTGAAAAGGAGAGTGAGATTGAAAACCGAGTTGATAAAGTAAATTTTCTTTGTGCTCTTAAAATACACTTTTGTGTAGTTTGTATTAGACCCGCCGTCTAATATACATTATAGATATATATGTACATACATACATATGTATATATCTTTGTGGGTTATATTTATTTTGTATCTGTTTTTATATTTTGTTTTATATTCTCAAATAATATTTCTTAATTGTTTTATGCAGTTATGCTTATGCACTTATGTTGGTTTGTATAACATAAAATAAAACACTAAGTTTTTATTTGTAGCACTGTGCTTCCTTTGAGCTTTATTTCAAACTGAGTACTTAATTCTATTGTTAGTTATTATTATAATAATTGGGAGAGCGGATGCGCAAGTAGCGCATTTAACTAAGAGTGCAATAGGAGTCTTAATTGTAAGTTGACTTCTAATTATGCAGACATTGCTGTCAGCGAATTTATGTTGTGTTAACTCCTCCTTCCGAAATTCCAATCGTCCCCGATTGGTCTTTAAAAGTATGGTATGTCGTTAAGACTTTTATGTCTTGCAACTTTCCTTGTCGGCGCGTTTTGAATAGTGATTTTGGCCATTTTCCTTATCCGAATTTTAAGAGTTATAATTATGATTATAACAAGGACCAAAATACCGAAATGAGTTAACATACTAGACTTGACTAGTAAATTTAGAGAGCTATTTTTTTTTATATTTTAATGTTAAGCTATTAAATGTCTCGTTATATTAATACTTATAGTTAAATTTGCTTCAAAGTTATTTAGTGAAATGAATCCTGCTTTTAGTTCTTCAATGTTTCTTACGTGATCAGTATTTGTAAATCTTCAATTTGGCTTATTGGTTTTATTAAAATGCAATTACAGATTTTATTCCTTGTTTTTGGTACTTTTATTACATAAATTAGAAAAGTTTGTTTCATAGCGATTTGAATATTTGCTAAGTTTAATGATTCTTCTAAAGAATCAAACGGAATGTTTTCTTCAATAAATATGTCATTTATCTTGTGAGCCTCTTCATTCGATATTATGAAACTGTTTATTATGTTTGCTTTGGTAAGATGTATTGCTCCGTTAATGTTTTCAATTTCTTCTTTTATTATATCAATTTTAAATTTATACTGAAGTATTAGTGAGGTTCGAAATTCATTGCTATTTTGTAATGCTTTTAATATGCTGTAAGTATATGTAAGCAACATATCGCAATATTTTAAATTCTTTCAAAAACGTTTCTAATAATTACTAACTGCTGATACTATTGATCGTGACAAGGTCATCATGGTCGGGATTTCCATTTCCATGCTGATCCTATAAAATTTGATGACCTCTTTACTCTATATTTTGGTGTTATATTGTTGATAGTAATATTAGTTATTTAAATTTCTGCTGCAATGAAAGGGTGCAAGGGATGGGAAGGTGGAATATTTTTTGTGAAGTGAGTATTTATATCATCTAGAATTCTGGATTATTCGGTAAGGTTGATGAAGTGAAGGATCCTGTAAGTTCCAGACTGCACTTTCCCGATGCCATTTTCGATGGTAACGATTTCTGATTGAGAGTAACCGAGTACTTCAACCGAAGCATAGCAAAGGATGTGAAGGGTTACAGAAATTAGTGATCTAAAAGAAGATATGATTATATTAGTTTCTTATACGATCTTTGTGGACTGTTTTGTCTGATTCTGTTTTTACTATGGAATGTTTTCCTTAACTATTTCCTCTTTGTACCTTTTTGAAAGTTTTGTTCCTAATCTTTTATTCTGTTTAACAAAAATTCTGTCTCCTGTTCTATACTTAATAGTTTCCTTTCTACTTTTGTTATGATATTGCAGGTCCTTTTCCTGTTTCTCATTGGCTATGGAGAAAGCGGTCTTCTCAATATCTGCTTCGTTAAGAGGAATCCGATAGAATACACTCTTAAGGTCAATTGTAGAAAAATATTTATTTGATCCTAGATTAGTTAGAATAGTGGTAATAGAGGTAATGCTATGGTATCCTCGTTCAATTTACGATAGTCGATTACCATACGGAATTTTCTCAATCCTGAGGCGTCTTCTTCCCTCGGTACGACCCATATCGGATAATTGTAGGGATATTTCCATGGTCGAATAATTCTATCTTTAAGTAATTCCTCAATTTGTTTGTCTATTTCTTTTTTTAAAGGCATTGGATATGGGTAAGTTTTGGAATATATTGGCCTATCGCTTTTAGTTCTAATGTTAATTTTTTTATCTGGTTCAGCAAATGGTGTTGAGCAAGAGTTAAATAGTTGTATTAATTTTTCGTTATCTTCAGGACTCAAATTATTTAGCCTTAATGTAATGTGCGCAATAGAATTAATTGCTAACTGGTGGATGGGGTATTCGTATTTATTGAGTAATGTAAAATAGTTCTTAGTAAAAATTACTACGTTTAAACTTTTCATTGTGTCGTTGGCATCAAAGGTTCTTAACTTGGGCAAAATGTGAAATTTTAAATGACCTATTTTATCACCGAAAACACTGATATTAGCGTGATGAGTAATTTTGACGGGTCCACCAACAGTTTACAATGAAGGGCTTATTCGGAATGGGGTTCTTAATATAAGTTGGACTAATATATGTAATTTTTGCTAGATCCGGTATCTAATAAAAATTTTAGTTCATAACCATTTTTCATTTTGAAACGATAGTATGGCAATGAGGAGTTTAGTCTAAAAAATTGGTATTGTCACGAGGGGTTGTTTCGATCTCTTCTTGTTCTCGTTGTATTCGGGTTGGTAGTCCTTCGAGGATATTCTAATATTCCGTTATCGTATTTATCGTATCTAGCTATGGTATGGCTAACTTGATTATTACTAGCCTGCGCTAGTTCATTACTAAATGCTTGTGATTTGTTACTGAATGTTTGCTGCCTATTATTAAATGTTTGATATTGTTGATACTGAAGCCTAATCTGATAATTTATTTGCTTCGTTTGAAGAGAGCGATCAAAGGTTTTGGAGGAAGAGGTGGTGTCGGTTTTGTCGTTACTGTTTATACGAACTTGGTCTAGGGGTTGATTGTGAACATTTGTAAGTTCTTGGTAAAAGAATTTTGAATGAGTTTGACCTTGGTTGCTTGTGACTAATAGGTTTGGTATTGGTTGGCAAGCGACTGATACTATCCGCATGGTTCGTCCTGTAATTCATGTTGCCTAATTTGAGACACATGTGGAGAGCCTGTGGTAAACTGGTTGTTTCTTTTACACTTAACAGACTGGGTAAGGCACCGTTCAGACCTCTTATAAATTTGTCAAGTGCCTTTTCTCTATATGTTGTTGTTATGTCATACAAAGCTTCTTTACCTAACTCCAGGCAATCTATTTTTACTATCATAAGCGAGAGATATTGATAACCTTGTTGGTCAAATTCTACTAAAAAAACAGTGCTACCCCGTCGAGCAAGTGTTGTCATTTGATATTCCAACGTGCTAACGTCTCTCTTGTCTGAGTAATGTAGCATCAGACATTTTTTTATCTTACCCCAATTTAAAGAGATGCTATCTTGTGTCTTATTGTATGCAGAATAGCAAAATATTTTGGGATGTTCTTATTCTGTCCGTACATTAATAATATTCTATCTACCGATTTCCGCCATGAACTGAATTCTACGTTTTTACCTGAAGATTTTCTTAAACATTTTAAATCTAAAATCTACAGGACCTTAAGCTTCTTCGGTTTGTGGGTGTAGTATGGCCGAAACTGTTTCCGATATTAACGAAACGAGTTCTCTTTTTTGATTAGGAGTGAAAGTGGAAGGGATGTTAGGAGGGGAAACGTTAGTGCTGAATGAGTGCAGATTTAATCTCGACAATGTCGCTGCTATTTGTTCTTCCTGACTAATTTTGATTCACTACCTTTCTTTTACGGTAGATAGATGAAAAATATGAACCTTTTCTTTATAATTTATTAATATTATTTCTTCTAAAGCTTATCACTTGTTTACGAACTTAAATAAGCCGTATTATATAAAAATTTTATTTTTAATATTTTTTTCTTATTTTATCTTTAAATTGCTGAGGTTGATTGCTGTTTAACAACACTGTTGAGGCTGATATAATAAGTAGTAAATTTGTTGTCAGCATTGGGTTARTGAAAGTTGATTGGTGGTTAACAACGCTGCTGGGGCTTATAAGTAGTAAATGGATGGTGTTTTTGTTTATTCGTTGCTCTTTAGTTTTATATTTTGATTTTTTTTTTCTTTTGAACTTATTTGCTCTTGGCACTTATTTCTTGATTTCTTTAGCCCTTTTTGGTAGTCTACTTAAATTGTTAGTCCGACATTTGCAGTGTTAGAAATATTTTATTATTCTTTTATTTTATGGGCTAATTTCATTATTTGTTGCTCTTATTTATTTAAAAGCTTTTTTTTCACACGATTTTGATGTAGAATTTTAATTTTTTTTAATTGTTTTATTTTCCATATATAAATAGTAAATATTTTTGAAATAACACTCGTGTTTATATTATTGCTATTATGTTAATTTATTGTTTTTAATTTGTCTGTGAAAACCCGAAGGTGTTTTTCGTTAAGGCTCGAAGGACCTCGATTAAGATTGTTACAAAAAGATACATACTTTTACTTTAGTAATCACTATGTGCATATGAACATATCGCTCATTTGCTGCAAGACCGGCATAAGTCAAAAAAATCGATTTTCCAGAAAACGCGTTAAAAGTTTTCAACTGACTCCAACCTTACACGGAAAACAGGAAATCCTACATTTTCAAAACAACCAATTTAGTATAATATATTTAACATTTCCATAAAGGAAAATCAACACCAAGTATCCATTTATGGGTATTTGCTGAATAAGAACAAACTTTCCTTTGCATAATGACGTTATAGTTGCAAAAATATGTTAATTTTCTACTTCAAGTAATTAAAAAATAATAACTAAATACCAAAATATATTGGTGACGAAACTCTGACTATGAAATGTTTACAATTTATCATAAAATGGCTTATAAAAATTTGGAATAAGTTTTTTTCTAATCAACTCATTAATATCGGCTCTCTTATTTTCTGGTATACTTTTATTATTGTGATCGTGCGTTTTATTCATACATAGCTATATTTTTTATCAGCAATAGCATCATATTTTGTGTTAATAAGAGCTATTTATTGTTACTGTTAATAATTCTATATTCAACAACGACACATTTTGTTATAATCAGGGATGGGCAAAGTCATAGCAGGTGCTAAAAGAGCGTAAGTGATCGTATACGTATACACACGGATTGTCACTAACACGCCCAACGAAGAGCGTAAAACGAGCACTTACGATGGGACGAACTTTGTCACAAAGCGATAGTGAAATCAGTCTGCAATCAGAAGTCAAGCTAAGTAGACCTGTACGCATTACTTTATGATTTATGAATGTACGTATCTGCAAGTACTCGTATTGGATACATAAATATGGCAAAGTTAATATCGTTCAAAGGGCTAACAGATAAACATTTAGAAGACCTGCTTAGGATAAAAGTATCAAATTTTGATTTAGATTATGATGAACTCGTCAATTATATTATATTAGAATGAAAGTATCATATTTTGATTTAGATTATAAAGAGGTCGTCAATTATATTATATTGTAGCGAAGAATGAATAAATTTTTAGTTAAAATTTTAAGTTTAATAGTTTTTCGGTAATCAATTGAAGTTTTAATATTTTATATTACAAAATTACGTCGTACATACACGTATGTACATTCGTATGTAGCATGCGCTACTTCGTGCAGCATAAATCTACTTATTCGACTTCTGTAAGCAGACTGATTATTTCTGATCGTTGATTCGCTTTGTCACACAGTAAATGCACTAACACATTGTCATTTTATGAGCGCCGTTTGGTTGTGGTCGTGCCCATCCCTGGTTATAATGTAAAATGCTAACTGTTTATTAGTCATTCTTTTATATGTAACAACGTCATATCACGAAATACTTAAGTTGACGATAGTATTCTTATCAACAATAACGTCATATTTTGTAATACACCAAGTTTCAATTAAATCAAAATTTTCAACAAGATAGTCATAACTCAAATTAGCGCTGTATACTTGAAAAAATCTAGATTAGAAATACCATTACCTTTTTACGAAGAACTCCACAACACAAAATATGCCTCTGTTTAAGAAAGCCAAACGATCTTAACACGACGGGAGCAGTGGCACAACTGAGATATGTCGCTCTCACGTATAAAAAAAGTTGAAACAGATAAAATGAAATAACGGCATATTCTCTTCTCAAGCGGCCATATAAGAGGTATTCATATGAATTTTTAACTCAACATGAAGTATTATATAACGAACAATTCTGCAGCATTAACTCAAAAATCACGTTTTTTGATTTATGCCGGTCTTGCAGCAAATGAGCGATATGTAAAAGCTGATTTGGGTTAAATATCCCTCACATATGAAATAAAAAATACCCGTTTACTTGTGTAACATACCAGTGTAATATACAACGTAATTTATTTGGAAAATATGTAACTTTATATAAACGACATTTTTCTTTAAGTTAAATCTTTATTAATTTCGGAGGTCCATGAAGGTTATCGATTTAAACGGGATCGTATGTGGTGCTAACTGCAGTTCGCGGGATTGGAGTCGCAAACGAATGTATATAAAATCTTTATTTTTTTAAATTTTATTGTATCTATTTGGGATTTACTCCAAAGATACATATATGTATATGTATTATTATGTATGTTTCATTAAACAAAAACGTGTGATATGTATTGTCCTAGAACATTTCTGGTTTTTGATAGATACAAATTATTCAAAGAAGACCGAGAATGCGTTGACGACGAACCACATCTAAGACGGCCATCAACGACAACTCATAATCAACACTTCAATAAAATAAAAGAATTGGTGCGTTAGAATCGCCGATTGATAGTCAGAAATCTTACTGATATCGCATACTCCATTGATTCTTCGTGAGTTTTTCTCCAAAATTACAACCAATATCATCCGGCGTATTCGCCTGATTTACCGCCGTGTGACTTCTGGTTATTGAGCAAACTTAAACGAACAATTCGTGGAAACCGTTTTGAGTCAATTGAAGTTTTACTATTTTTTGCTCATAAATTTCACAAAGAAGTAAAGGTATGAGATCGTTATTATACAGAAATAAATTAGATTTTAATTAGTTTAGTAACTCTTTTGTTTAATATCAGTTTGTAGAACTGCAAAGTTTTCACCAATTTCTTGGTAAGTGTTGGAGATACGTTCCGTCCGTTAATATGTTAATAGTATGCAATATTGGCAAAAAAATAAATAAAATCGAGTGAATACTAATTTCAACTCCAATTTACAAACTACAATTACTTTCGGTTTTCTAAGTTTTATGCCGTATATGGTATTGTAAAAATATACAAAATCGGGTTATTACTTGCAACTCCCATTTATAATTTATACTTGAGCAATGTTCGAATTAATGTTGCTGTTGTCGTTATAATGGGGACCTAGTCCTCCTTGAGATGGTAAGGGTTAACCAGGTTGTTGCTGTTTCGACTGGGTCGGACCACAGGGAGAGGGGTATTAGATGAGTTTGGTTAGTGGGACATGCAAAGAGGTGGACTGTGTCATGCGGAGACTCATTGCACGCAGGACATATATTGTATATATCGGGGTTTATTCTAGATAAGTAGGAGTTTAGCCTGCTACAATATCCAGAACGAAGCTGCGCAAGAGTCACTTTCGCTCCTCGTGGCAACTCGAGCTTTTCGTCTGCGATGGGTGGTGGTTTGACTCCAAGTACGCCATTCAGTGGTAGGGAGTCGGTGAAGGTGTTGGTGGCTCCACTGTGAATGGCGGTCAGGGCTTTTCGGAAGTTTGTTGCGTTGGAAGTCTGGACGTAATAGAGGAATGACCTCTTGATGTTCCTAGGAGGCCTTTCTGCTACAAACAGGTGAGGTAGTCCAGTGTGAATTGCTCTAACAGGTGAAGATTCTTCATTTGCGTTCCATTGCATCTAGATGCCCTTTTTGTTGCGGCGTAGTTGAGGACTGGTTCCGTCGATTGCCTTGCAAGTTGCCAACAATGTTTTTTTTTTTTTGTCTTTTCACCAAGTGCTGTCAGTTACCGACTTGAGGATTATGTTGCGGGTCTGTACATTGGCTATAATCGCGGTCGTATGAAGAGTGAAGGAGTATAGACTATCAAAAGTTACACCTTAAACCCTAGGATTATTAACAGTCGGAGCCTTGACGCCATCGACTGCAATATTAAGCGTAAATATGGTCACTGTGAATTTGGTGGGGAAAGTGTTAGGTTCCGTGCAGTGACGAAACGAGAAAGGTGGCAGAGGTAGCCATTTAGCCACAAATTCCATTGTCGGCTTCAATATTGTGCAATCATCAGGCTGTGGGAGTTTCGAGATATAGAAGTTAAAAAATAGCGGGGAGAGGACACCACACTCCGCAAGATCTTGTTTAATTTTTTTCCATTTAGAATTTTTTCCTCGAAACAGTACGGACGATTAACGACCGCTCTGGTACAGGGTTTGTTGGGAAAGTAATAGGACTGACTCGATTTAAAAAAAATTATTGAACCAATCGTTACAATTCTTTAAAAACTTTAAAAAGAGGCTCCTTTTGCGTCGATGCTGTGCTGCCAGCTCGATTTCCTTGCATTGGAAGCATCACAGGAGGCATTTTGAAAATAACCTTGAGAGCCAAGGTGCATGCTGCTTGAATCCCCTCTATTGTGTCAAAATGCTCATTCTTCCCTTTTTAGGAGGGGAGACGCCAGAGTTTGCCACGTGAAAGATTGCCTCTTTGTCTCGGGATCATACTCAAAAATCCATGACTCATCACCTGTGGTTACGTTATTCAAAAATTGGGCTTCAATTAAATCCCCAAACTTTCTTGGCACACTGCCATTCGCCGCAATTTTTGTTCGTTAGTGAGCATTTTGGGACCATCTGCACTCAGTCGCAATGTCATGAACCACAGATTTTGATCAACTTATCATCTGGCCTATTAACGGAATACTTAATCGACGATCTCAAAACTTTGCGCACTCGAGTCACATTGTCGGTGTTTATCGAAGTCGCAGGTCTCCCAGCGTTTATGACGCTAAGTCCTGTGGTGGTACTGTGCACTTTTCGGAATCCATGCTGGTTGTTTGACAGGCTAAGGGGTGAGTGAAGGTCGGGAATAGCAAGGCCTCAAGCGTCTTCACTACTAGGGAGAAAATAGTTATCGGACGATAGGACGCCCCTTTGTTGGCGGGTTTCCCAGGAAATCTTCAAAATATACCATCGTATTGCGTACGACATGCACGATTCGTTATAGATGCCAGGTTTCTTATTCTGCAGGACTTGCCGAGCAGGACGCAACTCCGCTGCTTTTAATTTATAAATTTCCCTTGCGAAAGCACCGATCGGTTAATTTTTAATTGCATCAACTGTCGAAAACCATTACAGAGATTTTCGAAATAGACATTGCATAAACATTTCGATAAACGGAGCGATATTGTGTCTGATTGCAATCTTTACGGTTTTGTTTGGCATTCCATTAAACCCTGATGCTTCGTTGTTGGCGAATCTTACCGCTGCTTCAGTGACTTCTTTGGTAGTAACTTACTGCTACAGTTTTCTCCATATAATATCTTTGTATAAGCGGTATGCGTGGCAAACAGGGTTTGTACCATAGCTTTAAATAATATGACCTTTGACTTCAATAATTTCTGGTTTTGTTCAACTTGTTTGCACAGATCCTTGATTTATTCGGCTTTGCTCTTTTTAATTGCTTTCTCTAAAATCACTCGTTCAGTATTGCGAACTCTGTCGATAGTCGCTTTCTTTGTTACATATAGTACATATGCCTCACTTACAATTCTTTCGCTCTCCTCATACTCGTACTAGCATGAGGGAGGATGCGGCATCAAAGGCTTTCCTGATGTGTTTTGCTAAATACTCAGCGGTCGTTCCGTGTCTATCGCTTTATTAAGGTTTCCATCTATCATCAGTTTGATAATTTTTCATCTAGGGTTTCTACTTTCCAGCCTCTTCTTTGTGCCTTCTTTGGTTGTTTAAATTTTTAGATATTTTGTGATTACTGATTTCTAGTAAGATGGCTATTGTGCGTATATCTGCTTTACTGGCGTAGAACCCGCTTACTCGGTTATAGCAGAGCTAACAACAGCGCGCCAGTCGTTTCTTCTTTTCGCAAGGTGGTAGTTCCAACGGAGTGGAGGACTTCCTCTTCCTCTGCTTCTCCCGGCATCGAATACTTTCAAAGTGTTTTCATCCAATCGGACGACATGAACTAGCCAGTGCAGCTGCTGTCTTTTAATTCGCTAAACTATGTCAATGTCGTCGTGTATCTCATACAGCTCAGAGTTTTATCGAACATGACATTCGCCGTGGCCAACGCCAATGATATCAATATCATCAGCATATGCCAGCAGCTGTACACTCTTATAGAAGATGGTGCCTTCTCTGTTTTGTTTTGAAATCGAATAATTTTCTCCAAAAGTAGGTTGAAGAAGTCCACGAAAGGGAATCGTCTTGTCTGAAACCTCGTTTGGTGTCGGCTCGGATAGGTCCTTTCGGATCTTGACAGAGCTCTTGTTGATGCTCAACCGTATTATTTTTGCAGGGATACCAAATTCAAACACCGCGGCATAAAGACCTTTCCTTTTCGTGCTGTCAAAGGCAGCTTTGAAACCGACGCAGAGGCGGTGTGTGTCAAATATCTTTTTAAGGGTCTTTTCCATGATTTGGCGCATGGTGAATATCTGGTCCGTTGTTGATTTGCCAGATTTAAAGCCACACTTATAAGGTTCAATCAGTTTGTTTACGGTAGGCTTTAATCATTCACACAATACGCTCGATAGAACCTTATACGCGATGTTGAGGGACTTATCCCACGGTAATTGGCGTGTATTGTGCTTTCTTCCTTTTTATGGATTGCGCATAGCACACTTAAATTCCAATCGTTGGGCATACTTTCGTCCGACCATATTCTACAAAGAAGCTGATGCATGCTCCTTGTCAGTTCTTCGCCGCCGTGTTTGAATAGCTCGGCCGGCAATCCATCAGTCCGGCCGCTTTGTCGTTCCTCAGACGGGTAATTGCTATTCGAACTTTTTCATGGTCGGTCAATGGAATGTCTGCTCCAATCGCCATCGATTGGGGAGTCGAGTGCGAATTATCCTGGCGTCGTACGTTCACTGCCATTCAGCAGACTGGAGAGTGTTGCCTACATAATTTAAGTCTGCTCTGGGCACCGGTGACTAGGTCACCTTGAGGGGTTCTACAATAGTATGTTCCGGTCTCGAAACCCTCTATTAGTCCGTTGGTCCTTTTGGCGCCTCTTCGTTCATTATTTTGTTCTTCTATAGTAGAGTTCGTCGTTTGGCCAGTTTTTCATCATGGGATCTTTTTGGCTTTATAACCGTGGTTGCGGGCATGTTTAATATGTTCGTTTCTTTCATTTTGTTAGACACGTGTTTCTTCGGTTTCAGCGGATTGTCAGCTTTATAGCGTATCCTCCGCTCCTGCCGCTCATTGTCGGAGACTGTTCATTCGTTTTAACTTATTTCGCAACTGACCAGCTATTACAAGCGGTTCTGGTATTCGTGGCTTGTCAACCGGTGTTCAAATTCGATAGAACAGACCACTACATCCGGAAGCCTTTCTCTGAGTGCGTGCGTCTAAACGCATTGACTGCGACATAGGTCAAGGCGCCCTCAGTAGCAACGATGACCCAAGCGGTGGATGAAGGCGGTATCCCAGGGGCACAACCCACATCTCCAGACCGAGAAATATTCCTGCAACGGTCATGAGTCAATCAATGTGGCGCTGAACAAAATCGATTCGTGGGTTAAAAGTTCGCTGCTAAAACCGTTTTCATACACGAGGGAGTCTCCAACACTGGGACAGACACCGGCACTCGTGAGAAAATCCTGTCGTAACAATCCATCCAGATGTTACTGTGTATAAATTAATCATAAAGATTTTCGAAATTGGAAGAAATTTGCGGAGTTGTCAATCTAATAAAAATGAAATTAAACTTTAATTCGAATTGCTCCATTTGAAAAAACAACTACATAAAAACCGAATATATTGATAATTTTAATATTCAAAGCATACAAGAATTTAATATTAATAAAAGTTCTAAAATATACAATACCCTTTATGCATTTCAAATTTACTGACCAAAAGAAACTTTGAATCAAACAAAGTATCCTAAATAAATATCATATGGGGTACCTAAATTTAAAGCATTCACTACATATAAAATATGTGTTAAATGAATCCAATAAAGAATATTTCTTAAATTTAACATTATCTATTCTTCTTTACTGGCGTAGAAATCGCTTTCGTGGTTATAGCCGAGTTAACAACAACGCGCCAGTTTCTTATTTTTTGCAATGTGTCGCTAATTGCAGATTCCAAGCGATGCCGGGTCCTTCTCCGCCTGGTCTTTCCAACGGAGTGGAGGTCTTTCTCTTCCTCTGTTTCCCCAGGCGGGCACTGCGTCGAATACTTTCGAGGCTAGGTAATGCCATCCGGAGCAGCAAGTGGTAACTGCGTTGGATTTCGAGATTGACATTGTTTTTGGTGTTAATGATGGTTCTAAGATAGACGAAATTATTTACGAAGTCGAAGTTATGACAGTCAACAGTGACTTGGGAGCCTAGTCGCGAGTGTAACGACTGTTCGGCCTTGTTCACCATCAGTCCCATTTGCTTCACTTCCTTATCTGTTCTGGAGAAAGCAGAACAAACGGCGCACTTGTTAAGGCCAATGATATCATCGACGTACGCCAGCAGCTGTGTAGTCTTATAGAATAAGGTACCTTCTCTGTTTAGTTCTGCAGTTCGAATTATTTTCTCCAATAGTATGTTGAAGAAGTCCACGAAAGGAAGTCGTCTTATTTGAAACCTCGTTTGGTATCGAACGGTTCGGAGTGGTCATTCCCGATCCTGACTGAGCTTTTGGTGTTGCTCAACGTCAGTTTACACAGCCGCGATATAAAGACAAATCCGTTTCGTGCTGTAAAGTTCTCATTCGAGGCTGTAGGTAAGTTTTCATTGGGGGCGTTTTTTTTTTACGTGTGGGGTCCCAAACCCAGAGCACAATCCTTAGGAAGGATGGTTCGCCTTCTCACTTTTAATCGCCCTTAAACGGATGTTCCTTGATTACCCATAGGATACTTGGCCAAAGACCAGAAGTTGTGAGATGCTTGAGCCATATGGAAAATAACCGTTTCCTTTGGAGTGTCCAAAATGAATGGTGATCAGAGGTCTTTCCCTCCCTAATACACATGACTCCATTCTCTCTTATCACTACTAATTCATTTTATGAAATAAAAAAAAGGTGTATACAGCTAAAATTATAAAAAGACCTTTGTATTATAAATGAAAATCAACGTTTTATGCGTAAATGAAAAAGTTAATCACCACATGCTCAAAATGTGCTCACGAATTTATCGTATGTGTCATTAATTGGCAATATTTAAAAAATAAACAAATTTAGTATTTAAATTTTGGCTGGTATATTCCGTTGGTTGACTATTCATGCACATATTTACCCAGCAATGTCTCAAGCCAAATTCGAAAATAAAAACAAACAAAAAATACTCCTCCAAATTTGATAAAAAAAATATTTGAAGCATATTTGCATGCAGAGAACGCGTGTGCAAATTCAAACCTGATTTAAATGCAAATTCTTTACCAGTTTGTTGTTTTTTTACAGGTATTTAAAAACGGTTCAGCTATCATTTATTATTTTGAGATAAATATATATTGTTTTAGCGTTAAGCCAGTGTCGACTGAATTTCTTATAAAGTGTAATTATTAACATTAAAACTGAAGTGAAAAGTGTGTAAATTGGTCTGCATTGGATTCATACCAAACATATATCTGTGCATAACATACTCCTGTCACCAAATTTGGTGGACGTTCGGTCATTGTTTGTTATAACATCAAAATATCTTTCGAAGAAGATTGTAGGGCCGATAGGCCCATGGTGCAGAGAGGACCATCTACAGATGCTCCACTGGTTGCATCTGGTCGTGAACCTAGATTTGGTCTAGGCCATTCTAGTTACCAAAGTGGATATAATAAATTATTTACCCAGGTGAGTATTCCAATATATACTAAAAACAATTTTATTCAGAACCTTTAAATTTATATGCTTTTTTCGTTGTCATTCTTTTTCGTACTTACATGAGACAATGAGTTCACAAATCTAAAATTGGTTTTTAAAATTTTGTTTTTATAAACAGGAAACACCAATACAGGAATAAAACCTTGTTGCAAATTAATTTAAGTATATAAAACACAGTATTGGCTAAAACTAAAGCGCTATATAGTATGGTTTTTAATATTGCGTTCTTTCCTAAAATAAAGAAGCCAACAATAACTTCTTCTTCTTCTTAATTGGCGTAGACACCGCTTACGCGATTATAGCCGAGTTAACAACAGCGCGCCAGTCGTTTCTTCTTATCGCTACGTGGCGCCAATTGGATATTCCAAGCGTACGAAGCTCCTTCTCCACCTGGTCCTTCCAACGGAGTGGTGGTCTTCCTCTTCCTCTGCTTCCCCCAGCGGGTACAGCGTCGAATACTTTCAGAGCTGGAGTGTTTTCGTCCATTCGGACAACATGACCTAGCCAGCGTAGCCGTTGTCTTTTAATTCGCTGAACTATGTCAATGTCGTCATATATCTCGTACAGCTCATCGTTTCATCGAATGCGATATTCGCCGTGGCCAACGCGCAAAGGACCATAAATCTTTCGCAGAAATTTTCTCTCGAAAACTCGCAACGTCGACTCATCAGTTGTTGTCATCGTTCATGCCTCCATCATATAACAGGACGGGAATAATGAGTGATTTACAGAGTTTCGTTTTTTTCGTCGAAGGAGGACTTTACTCCTCAMTTGCCTATTTAGTCCGAAGTAGCACCTGTAGTCAAGAGTTATTCTGCGTTGGATATACAGGCTGATATTGTTGGTGGTGTTGATACTGGTTCCAAGATAGATGAAATTGAAAATCTACGACTTCAAAGTTATGACTGTCTCACAGTGACGTGAGAGCCTAGTCGCGAGTGCGACGACTGTTTGTTTGATGACAGGAGATATTTCGTCTTGCCCTCGTTCACTGCCACACCCATTTGCTTTGCTTCCTTGTCCAGTCTGGAGAAAGCAGAACTAACGGGGCGGGTTGTTGAGGCCGATGGTATCAATATCAGAAGCAGGTTGAAGAAATCGCACGATAGGGAATCGCCTTGTCTGAAACCTCGTTTGGTATCGAACGGCTGGGAGAGGTCCTTCCCGATTCTGACAGAGCTTTTGGTGTTGCTCAACGTCAGTTTACATAGCCGTATTAGTTTTGCGGGGATACCAAATTCAGACATTGCGGCATAAAGGCAGCTCCTTTTCGTGCTGTCGAAAGCAGCTCTGAAATCGAGGAAGTGGTGGTGAGTGTCGATTCTCCTTTCACGGGGTTTTTCCAAGATTTGGCGCATTGTGAATATCTGGTCGGTTGTTGATATTCCATGTCTGAAGCCACACTGATAAGGTCCAATCAGTTTGCTGACGGGGGGCTTTAATCTTTCACACAATACGATCGATAAAACCTTATGTGCGATATTAAGGAGGTTTATCCCACGGTAGTTGGCGCAGATGGTGGGATCTCCTTTTTTGAGGATTGGTTCATTGGGGGTGTTTTTTTAGGTGGCGGGTCCCAAGCCCAGCGCACAACCTTATGTAGGGGATCTTTCGCCTTCTCACTTTAGCTCGCCTTCAAACGGATGTTCTTAGGCTACCTAGAGGATACTTGGTCAGAGACCGGAAGTCCTGAGCTGCTTGAGTCATATGTAAAAGAATCGTTTCTGGGCACTTCCAAGTGAATGACGATCAGAGACAATAACTTGTTGTATATATTATTAGAGTATATACTTCCCTACAATTTCAATTGTTATTATTTTCTTAAAGTTCCTGAAATGTTCACTTAAAATAGTTCATGATATTGAAAATTAAAGGGACAAAATTGAAGCATCTTCCTTGATTGTCAATAAATAGTCTTCTGTGCTAATATTTTGTATTGAATAATACTAAGCGTGTTGTGTATCTCCATCCCAATAAGTTAAGTTTCTTCACATTGGTTCAATCAATTTGAGCTTTGGTGAAATATTTCTTCTTGGTACTCTCACGTCACATGTAGTTTTATCAACATCAGGGTTTTCATCCTACATTTTGGGGTTAGAACAGTTAAATCTTTATTTAAAATATTAATTTTTTTAAATGAAGAATAGTTATAGCAGGAACAGTCAAAAACGCTACTGCCTTCCTCCCTTTTCCTTCCTCATCGGCAAAATGTGTGCCCTGTGAAAAACGTGACAAAAACGCAGAAATCAGCCATCTTTGTTTGTTTTCATTTGCACAAATGCCATTGCTCAATACGCATATATAGTTTTGTACACATCTATGTTTTCAATTACAATTTTATATAATATAAAATATCAAAACTGAAAACAAACTATTAAAAATAGTTTATATAATATAAATAATAGCATTCGACTCGAATTTTGAGTTTTTTTTTTTAGAAAATTTCAAACATATTGAACAGATTGAATTATAAAAGTTTATAATTACTACAGTATATAGATATTGGCAACCCTGGGTCGTGAGAGAGCAATCAGCTGACATGTTTCCACGGCAAAAAGCAAAATGCTGTAGATTCTCACGTCATCCGACATCAAAGAAAGAAGGGAGTAAATGCTGTAGACGCGTAGTAAAGCAAAGCGAAGCAAATTGTTCGACTACTCTTCTCTTCTTACGCTCTGATAATTTTAAATATTTTCCAATCTTTTTCAAAGAGGCTATTTGAAGATATATTTTCTTATCATCTCCTTCTTTTTAATCTTTCACACAAAAAAGATCGAAAGAACCTTACACGCGATGTTGAGAGGGCTCGGGAATCGGGTTCCCCTTCTGCTGGCGTTATACTTTCGCTGCCCTCCATAATTTTAGTATGCTCTGGGCATCAGTCACTAGATCACCTCAGGGTTTTACAAGAGTCTGCTCCGGTCTTGAAACCTTCTGTTAGTCGCCGCATCTTTTCGTAGAATTTTCGAATTACCCTTGTCGGCCAACTTGACAAGCTCTTCGTACTCACGCAATTCGGGCTCTTTCAACTCACGGTACCTATCCCATCCGGTGTTATAGTCGGTTGTTGATCTTTTGCATTTTCCGAAAACCAATTATTTCGGTTGCAGCTATACGTAAGGAGCTTGAAATGCCCTCCCATAGTTCCCTTATATCAAGTTGTTGACGAGTGTTCTTAGACGGGTAGAAAATTGTCCGACTATCTGTTGTGATAGCAGCTTCTCGCCGTCAACCTTCCTTCTGTGTTTACTAACATGTGTTTTTTGATGCACAGAGGCGGGCGCAAATCATAACATGATCGATCTGGTTGGTGGCTTTTCGATCCGGATACAGCCAGGTAGCTTGATGTATTTTCTTATGCTGGAATCTAGTACTACAGATGACTATATTTTGAGCCCCGGCGAAGTCGGGGATGGGCGTTGTGTCGGATTTTTACTTGGCGGGTCCTTAACCCAGCGCACAACCCTGTGGAGGCGATGTTTTGCCTTCTCACTTAGCTCGCCTTTAATCGGGTGTTCTTAGGCTGCTCGGAAGATACTTGGTTAAAGACCGGAAGTCGTGAGCTGCTTGAAACATATGTAAAAAAAAAACGTTTCTGGCCACTCCCAAGTGAATGGCAATCAGAGAAATTTCCTCACTAGCTCGAACTTCTACACTTCTCCATCCTCCACATTTTCTTTTACAAACTTTTTTTTATCAACTTTATGTATCATGTTTTTTTTAATAAATTGATATTAAGGATGATGTTTTTTAACAAATTCTCAAACATTTATAAGAGGTAGGGCCTCTACTATATTTGCAAATATTGAGTTGACTTTTATTTAAAGTCGAATTTGTTTTATTCTATTTTTCATTACTAACTTTTTAAGTATGGAGAAAATTGTGAAAATAATTGTTTTTTGTAATTGATTTATAAGCTAAAAATATATGCATAAAGTTTTTATATCCGATATCTTTGATTTAAGAAAAGCTAATTTCAAAATGTCTGCTCTGGGGGTAATACTGACTATGTACGAGTGAGTACATACAAAATACCTAGGGTTAAGAAAAACTATAAATTTTCGTCCTGTATTTACTAATTTATTTACTGTCTATAAATGAAGAATCATCTGATTGAAAAGCAAACACAATATTTCCCGAAATAAATATTTCGCAGTAAAAATCCCAAGAAAAATAAAAAATATAAAATAATAGATGCACTTTGGTTAAAAGTTAAAAAAAACTTAAAAACTAAAATAATTGTAGTATATTTCTTTGTATATTCTGAAAGATAGCTACAAATATTTATGTACACTCTATTGAAAAATTCATAAATTTAATTTTAACCTGGAACAGATGTCGATAGACCGCCTTTGCTCGGTGCTGTATATCAGCATCAAAGGAAAATATTTTCTTACTAGCTGGCGATGCTTTTATTTTAAGTGCATTAAAGTTACTCACGTGTGCAGACTAGGTTAAATTTCTTAGAAGTTTTTTAGGATAAGTGATTTATTGTTGAAAAACGGAAATTTTTTGATTTATTATAAAGAGAGTAAGAGCCGTGTAAAAATAATTTGACTAGCAAGAACATAGAAAATATACCAAAAAAAAATAGGCAAACAGTGTCGAATGGGCCGTGATCTGATAACGAGGAATTTAACGAGGACGAGGAACTAAACCTACCACTGGATTTGGAAAATTTTGCTCCTTATATTACCACTACACCAGAAACTTCCGCCAATGCTGAAACCATTGCTGCTGCAGCAGATTCATATATGATCTTCGTTGTGCCTGTTAATACGTCCGTGTCATCTCATGGGTCATCTAGTTGAGTACGGCGGAGCAAAACCAAACACTAGAATTGTAATGCCAACCAACTACGTTTGCGCGAAGTACTTTGAAACAGTAATTACCCGAGAAGCCCCATAAATAGGGATTAAACTGTTCAATATTCATTATAAGTGGTGTATCTGGCTATGGATATAAATTTG